TTTAAATGAAACATTATTTGCCCGCACCTTAAGTGCTGATTTTTATTGGGGTTGTGTATTGGAGCTTCACAGGATACTCCAAATTTAATTTGAACTCGGGATTGATTTGGTTGGCTTCAAAGCCAGGTTTTCCTTTCCAAAATTGAACTAGTGCATGACTTTGCAAGTTCATTCGGGTTTACTGCCTGACACAATTGTATGAGACTTTACAGCATTTATGGCACGTTTTGCCCTGCTGATCTCTTGTTCACTCACATGTCCAGACACACACAGAGAACTATTAAAACAAACAGTCCTGCTGACCCCCCGTATTTCCCTGGGAAATACATTCCTCACTAAAAGCTACAGATTCCAAACTCACACAGTTCAAATCCGTATTATATGAAAATTATCATAATTTCGAACCTTTACTGTATTAATTAGGAGGCTTTGGAGCATTTTACTATCATTAGTTTTGCTAGAACTTTTCTGAAATATGAGAACAACATGTTCTCATTTTGCAGACTACTCATTTTACTGAGGTACGTAAAAAAACAAACCAACTGACATTAAGACATGACAAGGCATTAGGTAATTTGGTTTTTCTTTAGTTGTGGGACATTTGCCTGCTAATTGCCCATCCTGTCTATTTAAACTGTGAACTCTTTGGGATACAGCGAGATAACTATGGCTGAGTCTCGACCAGGGCCTCTGAACACTAATGGAATTCAAATGAATGATATTAATAAAAATCAGATAGTAATATCCTATAGGAAGTCTAGAAGGTCCAGAATGACAAGAGATCCTCTAATGTATTTTATGCTGCTGTAGCTACGAAACCAATCGTACCTTAAAATTCATACAGCTTTACTCCAGTTTTTTGGGGTTTTTTGTTTGTTTCGGGTTTTTTTGTTGTTTGTGTTTGGTTGGGGTTTTTTTTGTTGTTTTTTTTTTGTGTGTTTTTTTTTACAAACTGCATATATTATTTTTTTTAAACTCCACGTTTCCTTTCAAGGGGCATTTGCTTATACTGAGTAGGATTAGGGCGCTTTGAACGCACCTATTGTGATACAACAGACGCCTCTGTTTCCTTGTTTTTCCTGGGCACACAAAACTTTCACGTTTTGCAGCTGATAAGGAGCGAGAGCTCACAGATAATCATACACACAATCACGGGTTATTGTGCTTTTAACAGGACACTAAATGCAAGCCCGTTATTCTTGGTTAATCAGTAACTGTCTGTTTGACAGACACCAGATTTTTGTTTAGTTTTTTTTTCCAGCGTGCGGTTTCTCACCTATGCAAAACCAGTTCTCTTACTCCAAATAAAAATCCTGAAAGGCAAGAGCAGTTGAGATCCTCAGCGCGGGATGTGCAGCCTCCAAAGGCTGCCTCAACTGAGCATTGGCCCTTTGCCCTGAAAGTGAGAATAACACCGAAACATTACAGCAGCTCCGCTGCTCCCTGCTAGGGGCTGGCGAGGGAGCGAACCAGCCATCCAGCCGTACAGAAAAGCTACTTCAAAACTAAACAGGCAAATAAGGAGCAGCCATGACATTCTTCGCGCAGTTTTGACTTAATTCGTTTCCCTGCCTCTTTGCATCTTCAGTCTTTGAAGGCAAACGAACCAGTCGGTGTCACGAAACAAGAACTAGAACAGACTTCAGTAATAACAAAAACCAACGGAAAAAGCGGATCTTTTGCAGGCAACATTTCACACGGCTCAAAACATCTTTGCCGCAGCTTAAATTCTGCAGCCTCGCGATTGTTCTGACACCTCTTTATTGTTCCTTTTAAGTGCAAATGCCCAGGTAGCATCACTATAAATGAAACAGTGGCGTTCACAGATTGCATTCAACGGCTGTTAGAGCTCCCTCTCCTTCATCTGCACAATTTGCATCTGTTACAGGCTCGGGGATACAGCTTTTCCTGCTTCTCAGTGGCCTCGGAAGGGCACAAGAACTCCCCCCTACAGAACTGCAGCTCGGCGGAGCTCTGAAGCCCTTCCCGGGGGCAGCCCCACCACGCTGCTCACTGAGACATGGCAGGAGGGGAAGAACCTGGTCCAAAGTGAAGACTTTGAAGGACACCACTGTGATGTGCAGTGCAGGTTCTCCCAACGACCCTGTCTTGTGATATCCACCACAAAATTCAGGGTGTTTAATCAGAATTGCTAATGAAGGTGCAGAGCCCTGTTGTGAGGCTGCAGCACGGGCACTCAGGGCCTCCTGAGCGTGGCTCTGAGGGGTTTTGCACAGGGATTTGGGCAGCAATCTGCCTCTGCCGTGCAAGGAAGAGCTGGGTGAATGCATTCTGTACCTGAGACATTCACTTTTCTTTCACAGCACCTTAGGGAGAATTCCCTAATATCGGTTACGAGCTGAGAATATTTTAACAAAAGTTCTTTAAAAAATTAACCACTGTGGCCTGAGCTGAACCCCTGGCTGGAAGCAGGGCACTGCTTTCATGCAAAGCAGAAGCTCTGTGTTTGCTTTCAGGTTGCTCAAAACAAGAAAGGACAACCACTCTTAACAAGTCCAACACACAAAGTGCAGAAGCTGCCTATTATTTATTTCTGAGAACATAATATTTTGATGATTTGACTGCTCTTCTTGGATATGTAAAGGAAGTTTTGCAGTAGAGATCCAAAGCCTTTGTCTCTTTGATGGAAATGTTTGCAATAATTGACAGGTACAGGCTAGAAGGGCACATTCCAGAAACTAAAATATTAAAAATGTGAGCTGTTTAGAGAAGAAACTCAGGTATTTGTGTTTAGTACTTAAGCAGACCTGATTTAGGAAGGGAGACCTTTATGTGTGGTGCCAATTATAACCAGACTAGTGGTGTTTACATACTGAATGTGTTTTTATTATCCTGTACAGTTGTTACCACACAAGTCCAACATTTCAACAGAGTCACACTACAGCACATGATGCCATTGATGTTCAGGTAGTACACACAATTATTGTCCCTTCTGTCATGAGACTCCACTATTGCAATATTCACATCAAACGAGAGCAAAAATACCACTCCTATTATTATTATTGTTTTTCTTTGTTGTGTCTCTCAGGAATCAGAAGATAAGCCGAAGCCAAGAGATGGGAATTCATTTTACTGGGCCACCCTGCTGATCAACTAAAACAATGACTTACTATCCACTTTATCTCTGTGACAATACAATGGGATTATATTATTTTATCTTGTTTTATTAGCAAGGCATAATTGTATACAGCCTCTACATGGAGCATGCAAAGAACTGAGACTGGAAATTTAAAAAAAAAGGAGCTGGATGTATGGAAATATCTTTTCTTCCACTCTGATCAACTGAATGAAAACCTGAAGAATCACTGACACAACAACTTTCATATTCTCATTCTTTTTCTAAATAGAGAACATATTTCACTTACAGAATTGAACTATTATAAACTCAGTTGGAGTCTGCATTATCTGTCCTTTGGATCCCAGTCATCCATTTAAAATCTTTGTCATACTTTTTTCTTTTAAAAGAAAAGAATTAGGTAAAATCTTTTCAATGACCACAAGAATTTCTAAGCAAATACTCCATTTGCATGCCTATCTTCCATGCAGCTCAAAGTAAACCTCTCTTTAAACACATAATAGACACATTTTCCTGAAAGCAGATACTTGTTTCATATAATGTTTTATTCCTCAGTTAAAAAAGATGAGATTTTGTCACATAACCTGCAACAAAACCTTGGAAAGCCCCGAGCACTGACTACTTCCCTTTCTATTTTAAAATGATACCTGTCTAAAACACCTTAAGCACCTTGCAGCATGACTTCAGAGTCCCACTACAGATATGCCATCAAATGTGTTGCTATTATTCTCCAATAAATTCAAACCAGAGACACAGAAGTGCAAATCACAACACCCCAACCTTCTAAACCAGTCAGTGGCTACAAAGGACATGGATTTTCAACCACTTTAAACATTTTGGCCATTCATTTCAGCTACACCTACCTAGCACGAAATTAGCTTATGTAACATACTTTGATCCTCCAAATAAACTTATACAAAGACAGGTTTTCTTCTATTGAGTGAACACAAAAGTCTTTAAGATGAAATTACAGCACGATGTTATTTGTACTCAAAGGAAAGCAGGTACTTTTGTAACTTGCATGAAGCCTCTAAGCTTCAGAAAGTCTGCAAGGCCACTAAACTCACTTGCTGCCCAGTTGCTCCTGCCCAGTGACTTAGAGAATGTCCATCATTACTAGAAATAAGGAGCTGGGCACAGATATCACAGCTGATGTAAAACAAACACAGTGTATGTTTATGCATCCGGATAAATTTCGTGTTTGTATTCCTCTGCACTTCCCACTAAAACCAGATTTGAAACAAGGTAATGAAATCAGACCACTGGTAGAACTCCAGGAGAAATTAGCTCAGCTAGACAGAAAAATCCCAGTGGCATCATTGATAATTGGTTGCACCCTTCCAGCCACAGAGGCGAGCACAGAACAAACAGATGCAAGCAGGGAGATAACCACACACTTGGCAAAACCTGGACACGGGAGCGCAGCAGCCAGCTAAGAACAATCATCCAAATAGGAGGGGGAGCACTGAAAATGGTTCATTAGGAACTTTTCAGCCTCACGTGGCACCCCTTTCAGTCCCTTGACACCAAACACCAAATGCTGCTGGCCTCTCTCTCAAAAGCAGCGTTTCTAAACAGACAAGCAGCACCAGGAGTGACCCCACTCGCTCGCCCAACGCCTCCCACCACCTGGTGCTGGCAAAGGTCCCTCTGGCTGGCAAGGCAGCGGCACTTTGTGTTTCCTTGTGGCTCTTTTGTAAAGGGTACAAGGCGGATCGTTGTCTCCGTACATATAATTAAGTGCTGAAGTGGCTGCAGTGCTGGGTGTGAGCCTGGGTGCTGAGCCTGCCTGCGAGCCCCGAGGGCAGACGGGCAGCACTGCCTGGAATAACCGGTGAAAATTCCAAAGATAGCACTTATTCACTTAGAGACAAACGCATATGAAAAGTTTAGAGGGGCCTACCTTCATCTCAACTTGATCAGCAGCGCTCCCAGGAAAGGATAAAACCAAACAGCCACAGCAGCACCTCCAATCCCTTACAGGTCTCTCAGCCAAGATTAGGTCTCATTGTGCCCAGCTGCGGGTGGGTGTTGTCCCTGGAGTGCTGTCACCTGCAGGAAGCACGAAATCAAAAAAAGCTCAAAATATTTGTGGGTTTAAAACACAAACATTAAAAAAGTAACACACGATAAATTCAATCACATCCCCCGTCAGAAATTAATCTATATTTGTCCAGCAAAAAGGAGGCTAAGGGAGACTTCTCAATCAGTGATCCTAGAGGAGTGCCAGAACTGTGTGGCAGACAGGGAGGAAAGAAAAGGTGGCTGAATAAATCCAGAAGTTCTGCTGAGAGCAGATGAAAAACTGATGAATCCTATGTAGCAGTGGAAGGGCAGTAATAAAATAAATAAAACCAAAGCACCAAACCCAAACTAATTAATCCCTTATCTTCAACAATCAGCTATTTGAAGAGAACCTTGTTGCCAACTGCCTGTATTGATCATGAAAATTGAGGAAGGCTTCCACCACCATTAAAACCAAATGTCCTTCTCATCCAGAGAGAAAGTAGTTGCCTTTGGAGACAGAATAAAGACAGGTCTGAATTCTCCCCCTACAGTCTATTCTTCCCCAAGCATGGATCCAGGAGAAAGACAAAGGGCTTATTTTGATTTGCACACCACTGCTTCCTTTCATGCTTTTTTTCCCTTGAAGTGGCATGTGCTCCTTTAAAAGGAGCAGACTCCCAGCTTGCCGTGGGACCCCATTGTTTTCGATCTGCGATTGAAATAAATCTCCTGCAATATGTTTGGTTTCTCTTAAATTTCAAAGTGATGGCCAACACTCAGCTGCAAATGGTTTGAAAGTGATCTTAGCCAGCGCACATTTAAAACTCCCTCATCACTCCCTGTGGAACAAAACGCAGTGAAAACCCTCTAATCATCATCATCAGCGACATCCTGATCGAGCTGTACTGTCAGCCATCCTCATTCAAATCTGGAGACATCCTTTGGAAATCAGCACAGAGAATGTTGGATTTCCAGCTCGTGCAAGCGAGTTTCCACTGGATTCAGCGAAGTCTCTTCAGGATTTGGTGTCACAGCGGAGAGCACAGTATCCCCATCCCTACAGAATCTTTCCATCCACCTCCCTCTCTCTCCTCTGCTCACTTCTGGTATTTAATAACAACCCCAGACATGTTCCTTGCCAAATGAAGCAGACAAGTGTTTCATTACTTTTTCTTTTTTATTTTTTTTTTAGAAAAACCCCATGTTTATCTTATCTATGTCTCTCTCTTAAATAAGAGATTTGCATGTGTCTGGGAGCCAAGAAATATTTTCTAGTCTTTCATATATTTCTGATCTGATCAAAAATATTTTATTAGGAGGAATGAATATGTAAGACTATGGAGGAGGAGAGTGGGAAACGAGTTACAAATAACTATAACTGAGTACTCAAGGAATTCTCCAGCCTAAATTGGCTGCAGAAATTTGATTTTAAGCTGAGATAGAAGATATTTAATATTACTGAAGGAGACAAAACGAACAACAGCTTTGCAGCAAAAACCAAATCTATGAATAAAAGCTTATTTTGGAATTGATACCCAGAGTAGTAAAGGAGGAATGAAACCAAACTCACAGCTAAGACATAGGAGCTCTGTTCTTGTATCAGTTTTGATCACTGTGCAGACTCATGTAAGAAATTTCTTTAATGTCTGTATCTAATGAGTCAAATTGAGATAGAGATGCCATCCTCAATCCTATTATTATTATTATTATTATTATTATTATTATTATTATTATCATTATTATCATTATTATCATTATTATTATTATTATCATGGCATGCCTGGGTCTGGGACATGGTTTTTGCACAAAAAAGCTCCTAGTTTCAAGAGAAGTAGCATATGTCCAGTTTAAAATTCAAATGTACTTATAACTAAATGCTAATGGCAATGTCATTTATTCATCAAACAATTCTGCAAGAGGCCATATGAGGCAATCCATTTTTCAGTACATGTATTGGGACTGTATGGAGAAAGAGGAGTTAAAAAGTAGCTGAGGTTCATCAGAAGTTGCAGTGCACCATAAGGTGGTGAATGCTGCCCTCTGCCTCAGGCTGGCAATGGTCACTCCTTTGAAAATGGTCTGTTTTCAAAGTGTGGGGCAGACAGGACAGATGGGGGTTCAACAGCTTTCCTTAATACTCTGGTCTGCAATAGTTGTGTTAAAAGGCTACATACTTGAAACAATATCATGGTAAAAAGAAATTTCCTCAAGGATTAAAGCTCATAGTTATTTTAAAATTATTTTTTCAAGTATCTACATCACAGAGAAGGAGCTACTTTTTTTGATACATCTACCTTGAATGGGCCATATAAATGAGTCATGTCAGCACTAAACTCCCAGGTCCATGGAGGACAGTTTCTTTTACACAGTTTTTTTTTTTTTTTAACGATTTAAGAAGCGATATAACTTATTTCAGTGTAATATTTTACAGTTTTAGGCGGGATTTAATAACAAAGGAAAGGCACAGTACTCTTTATCTGCTCACACAGAAAGGAAAGCTTAGCCCATTTCACTGAAAGTGTGATTGAGATGTGTATGTCTGCAGCTTAGCCACAACAGCTTTAACTCTGCTAAAGACTTGCTGACATTATTCTGCTGTAGATACAACATTGTTCAAGACAGTTTGGGGAGCAACCATCTCAGAAAAAAAAATTGCAAACAGAAAGAAGTTTACAGGGCTTTTTGTACGCTGATTGCACACACTGACATAACTGTAATTAAAAAAAACCAAAACCAAACAAAAGCCAAGAACTGTAGTCTATTAAAAGAAATTGGAAACCCTAAGCAAACTTTCAAAGGAAGGATTTTTAGAAGTTATGAAGGCAATAGGTGGATTCAAAAGACCCAGTGGAAACAGGTAAAGAGAGCAATATACGCTGGAAAACCTCCTAATGTGCTCTCAGCTGCACTTAACAGTGAGAGTTACACTCACAGAATGAGTCCTAAGAACTTTTTTCGTATAAAAATGAGAAAAAATCAAGGCAACTTTCAAATCTTGTAGCCCAAGTTTTTATTTCTGAGACAGGCAAATGTTACACTAATTCCATATCCCTGTGAATAAGGAGATACAGAAAAGCTTTTAGCATGGAAGATGCCTCCTTTGCTTATTTATTCAGCAGGGGATATTTAGAATCAAGTGGAAATTACTGCAAGTGAATCTGAGTTTTTCAGCAATAGATGTGCCTGTTTGGGAAAATTAGTTTCCATGCTTTTAGCCACTAACATATCTTCTGAGAAGGAAAGCACCTGTTTTGAGAGAAGCCACGTAATCAGAACCGATGGCAAGATAGAAAATCCTTTTTTTGCAGCAACACTGTGGTTTTGAAACCTGCTGCCCTGCTTTGAGCTCGTAAAAATCCTTTCAAAATCTGCAAAACCAAAATAGAGTTAAAAGAAGTTGTTTTGAGACTCGGTGCAGTCATGCTCTGTTCTGAGGAGTTTTCACACTGAATTTGGCAGAACATAAAGCTGAACCCAGATCAGAGTTTCCCAGGCTGGGGTCAGAGCCCACAGATCATCACAGTCTCTGCAGTTTGACAGCAATATTTTGGATTTTATGAGAGGATGTGTTTTGGTCTATATTGCACGTGACACACAAGTCCCCAGTTCCAGCTTTTCTTCAGTGATGTAGCCCAAAATCCAAGTGGGTGGTGTTGGCACTGGCATGTCAGAGGCACTGGTGTGTTGGAGGTGCTGTGACCTTGGAAAGAACACCATGTCCACATGGTGTGATCTGTGGTTAAAGGTGTCCCAGGGAAATGAGAGGGGCTTTGAGGGCTTTCTGTTTCTCCTCTGCAGCACTATTCACTGATCTACATCTCCCCAGATTCTGAGGGAAGGTATCAATGGGCAAGAGGGCAGGAAAAGGCTGGGGACTTGTCAGGGAGCTTGAGGCAACACAAGGTCATCAGAGTTGAATGTCCTGATATCTGGAGCTAAATGTGCTGCCCTTTGGAAGCAGGGAGTTAATGTTTGTTATAATCTGCTTGTGTGCATGGCTTTTGCTTTCCCTATTAAACTGTCTGTATCCCCACCCAGGAGTTTTCCAGGTTTTACCCTTCCAGTTCTCTCCAGTCCTGCTGGCTGGGGCTTGGCTGCTGGTTGGGATTAAACCACGACAGTCCCTCTAACATCTCACATTTCATTTCCCTCAGAGCAGAACAAGCCACCACTGGAAAACCACCCTGTGAATGTAAGACATTTCACTGTGAGGGAGCAGCAAGGGTGCTCAGGAGCTTTAGGGGGGTAATTGTTTCACTTCCAGCTTTAAAAATTAACTGTTCTTTCATTCGTTTGAAGCAACCTCCCATTTTTCTGAGTGACTTTGCAATAGGAATTTGGACACATCCTCATATTAAAAAAAAATTGGAATAGTAAATCAGACAGTAAGATAAAGAATGATACCTCTGCTAATGAGTATCACTAAAAGTTACAATTAATATGAATTTTCATATGCAAGTCTGCTTGCACCAAATCCAAAAACCTGACATAAAAGCAGAGCTCTGAAACAGCTGGGTAGCTTGAATCTGATATGAACTTTATCTTTCAGAGAGATATGCTGCACATCTTATAGCTAAAGACAGAGCTTTAATTTTCAAGCCATGAGGAAGAGAGAACACATAGGGAGAATTCCTCATTACTGTGTCAAGGGAAGCTGAGAACATTTGCTTAGACTCCCAATAGGGGTAGGAAGTCGTTGAAAGTACTGAAAGTTAGAAGTTAATAATAGATATTGTAGTCCTTTTATGAGTTTTTATTTTCATAACATGCATACCCAAAGTAAAAGAGTTCAAGACTTCAAGTGAGGTTCAAGGGTATGCTTGAAATACGAATAATATGTGAGCAGATGACATTTACGCCTCTAAATTAGAAGGAAGAAATTAAAATGAGTTTATGTGTGAAGAAAAAAATTAAGCTAATCATATAAATCTGAAGCTATTTATGCATCAATGTCTGGGCAAAAGGATGCAGTAAAAACCAGCTTGCTGGCAAAGACTTTGGACTTGAAAAGAAACACCAGGGTCTGTAGGAGAAAGAGGAAAGAA